TATATTGAAACTTGTTATCTATAACGACTGAAAGAGTACTGAAGAGAACTGCGACATTAAAGAAAAAGAACTTTCCATGTATGCGGGTAAATCATCTCAGATATTTTAAATTTGAAAAAAGAAAGGAGAGGTGGGAGAGAGAAATGATAAGAACAATAAACTGTGCCTAATTAAAGCAGCATTTCCTCTGGAGAAGTAGCATCTTGCTTCACTGAATGCGTTAGTTTCATTTTAAAGTGATATATATAATAAAAGTGAAAATCAATTGCCATGCCTTTCCGAGAGGACACCGATATGACATATCCCAAGAAAATTACTGATTCACTGAAGGACGTGGTTATTTAACGATGTTGGAAAACAAACGATGAATTTTTTTTGAAAGAAGATGACTGCAAAAGTGGACCGATAATAAAAGAGAGAGAGAGAGAGAGAGATAGGAGGAGAGAGGGAGAAAGAGAGAAAAAAAAGAGAGTTATGTGATAACCACCAGCGGATTCGAACGGTTAGCTGAAAGGGAACGACTAACGACAGTGCAACCAACGTTATTGGAAGTATACAGTAAGAATCAGAAGATGACGGTGACGATATACTTCTTTAATGTGGCCATAAGACAACGTAACGGAAAACATTTAATGATATTTGTTTTAAATGACCATAGCAAAGAGAATGGAAAGTAATGGAGAAAAAAAAGGATTAAGAAGAGAGAAAGAAGAATATTAAATCATAGCTGAAGGATAAAGTTATGATTATATGTCATACCTATTCTACCCTTTTATTAATAGCCAAATAAAAAAACTTTTCTTTTGCATTTCAAATGCATTAATTTCTAATTCGTACAGAAAGAAAATGAGAAAGGATGAAGAAAAAAAAGGTGGAAGGTAATGGATAATGATGATAAGGAAGGGATTTATCGACATTTCATATGATTCATTCGAGATTGTACTCATTTTATGTTTTAAAACTTTTAGCTAATAATAACATTCATCTCTTTGGGACGTAGTACTAGTTTACAATTTTCGAAAATCTTTCGCAAAATGAAGGTAGTCTATATATTTAATTTCATGACTTAGAATGCTACCAAATTTTACCGAATTTTTGACACACTACTCAGACGATATTGCAAAATCCCAAAACAAGAGAATGAAGTTATTAACGAAGGATCTTTTAACTTCAACAATTACTTATGAGGGTAAGGAAAATTAATGAACATAACAACAAGAAGTTCGTTTTGGTAAATGGATTTATGGAATGAATTATAAAATAGTTTTATGCTGCTCATAAATTTTGGTGTTGTAAAATGCAATGAAGCGCAGAAATATAGAACTCGATACTTTTGAAGGATGTGCAAAGCCTAAAAAAAATACTGAAAATGATCAGAAACAAACTTTCGGAAAAAATTAGGTTTAAATTTAGAAACGAAACCAGTATATTTATTGCTAATAAATCAAACGAAGATAAGGATAGGTTATAGAAATTTTAAAAAACATTCATAAAAATTAAATATTTCTATATGAAATATATAGAAATATCTAATTTTTAATATATTGAAGATAGTTGCATTTAATTTTTAATATTATTGAAGACAATTGCATTTATTGAGTGGCAATATTGTTAATACTTTAGAAGGATGTGTAAAAGCTTTTAAAAAAATACTGAAAATGATCATAAACAAACTTGTCGGAAAAAATTAGGTTAAATTTGGAGACGAAACCAGTATATATTTAGATACACAGTTACTGCATTCTTATCCCTTATTAAAGGTGGTGATACTTCTTTGAGACCATGATGATTTCTACAAAATTAATAAAATGCAATCAAAAATTCGAGCAATCAATATTTTTGATACAAGAATATTTGAATATTTTCGTCATTCTCAAATCTTCAGTGATTTTTCTGACCGTTTTCCAGGAGATCCATAAACTTACCTTTCAGGATATTAAGGATTAAAGCGGTACTTGCCAGTAAGTTCTCTCAGTGTGTACACTAATCAGTGGAGAAGAATAACATTTCTATGACACAAAAAAACGATTAGAAAAAATTAAAGCGCTACAAAAAGGTTCTCAGCTGACAACTACTTGACAACAATCTAACCATCTGCTAGAAGCTATCAGAACATTATTTCAATATTATCGAGGTATCAGTAGAGTTTAATAAGATTGAGGAACGGCTGGAATCTTCTTCCCATCAATCTTTTAATGTTCACTTAATATTAAGAATTGTAATTTAGATGTTTTCAGAGGAGTTCGGAGAGAGAAACAAAACTTGTCCAAGTTTGCTAGTATTAATGGCTAACGAATGCTGGGATTGCTAATAATATAAGCAAAGTAAGCAGTATAACTTGGCCCGATGGTTTCCGAACAACTTTCATAGGAAGGAAAATTTGAAAGGAAAAAGGAAAAAAAAAGGAAATTTTCGATGTTTTATTTTGAGAAGCATACAGACAATCATCCCATTGAATCTGCGGTATTAGCGCCCTTAAAGAAAATTTTGCCAAAGCATATTCGGGATTGTTTAGTTCCCATAACTGAACCGTTCCAACTGCTACAAGTAAGCGCTACTTATCTTACAGTATCTATCCTCTTCCCTTTTCAAGTACTGTGGTACCTTTCTAACAAGCAGTAATATAAGATGAATGAATGCAGAAAAAATAAACACGGCAGCGGCAAGTGAACGCAGGTACATACACACACAACCGTCGCACGACGTGTATGTATGCATGTATGTATGTATGTGTATGGGAGTGTCTCCGTTGAGTTTGTAATTAAAATTGAATTAGCCGAGCGAGCGGCGGCTAGCTGAGTCGGTGGTGGCGTGTAAGTTCATTGTTGAGTCTGTATCTATATATACATGTATATATATATATGTGTATGTGTGTGTGTGTGTGTGTGTGTGTGTGTGTGTGTGTGTATGGTTGTATATATTTATTTATATGTAGTAGCATTCATCGATCGAAGCTGTACTTCGACCGAGTGGGAATGAGAGTATAAGATGAGCATAGCGAAAAAGTTTAGGGATGACTTCTCAGCGCCAATTCAGGTGTGCGAGGACGGGACTAACCGAATTTCCTCGAAGTTATCTACGATTATTTTTCTTCGCAGTAAGGAAAATGTTAACATATTTTTCCAAAGCATCAGGTAAAGCATCAGTTCATAAATATTACAATCGCCAATACTTGGCGATTGTAATATTTGAAGATTTTTTATTTATTCCAAAAAAAGATTGAACCAAATGAAATTTTGAAACTCCAATTAGATATAAGAGAGCTATTGTCCTACGTCTCTTTCGAACTGATAAAGATTGGGTATTATCTGAAAATCGAGTGTGTGATATATGCTCTAATATCATTGTCATAGAAGTATTGCTTTTAGAATCTCAGTCGTCCATTAGTAATATCGAATTAAATTGTTAAGAGAGAATGGTCAAAGACGGATTGGACCATACGTTTAGTGAATGCAGCCCGAGAAAGCTTCGAAATAATGTATTGAATAAAATGAATTTGCAGAACACAGAGATGGAAATTACAAATTCAAGATAAGCTGATTATCAGAATGTGGATTAATGTTAATACTTCTTGTATATAAAGAAATGACATTTTAGCAAAATTTCAAATTTGTTTCCTTACTAAACCAAGAAAGAAGATTTGCTTAAATTTGGAAATCAGTGCTATATAAGTCACGAAAGAGTGTGGAAAGAGACATTTTCTTTTTTGGCCAAGAAGTAAGGCTATTTAAGATGGAATAAATAAACTTCAAACTATCAGTTGCAACATACGAATAGTAGTAAGGAACTAATGGAATAATGAACATTTTTTAATATAATATGGATTTTCTTTCATCATATGGGCGCAGAAAAAAGCATTCAAATTAATTAAGTTATACTGTCAAATACGAACAATATGGACGTCCATACAATATCTTTTCGAACAAAGTGAAGCTCAATTCTTCAGAGCTTTCTTATGATTGTCAAAAAATAGTGAAAATTTTTCGAGATTTTTACTGAAATTAGTGTTCTCAGCAATGCTGCTAATATTAATGGTCAAATTGTAATATTTGAAAATGTATCTCATTTTTGCATTTAATGATCACATAATTCTTTTCGGATGGTTTTCTAAAAATTGTGTTACTTCGACAAGGCGAACACTAAATATCGCTTTATATCGAATATCATAAAATGCACAACCATGGTAAGCAATATTCAAGAATACTCCAACATATTCACATATCGCAAATACATCATACGCTGAAATTACATTCCAAAAATAAATTGAGGTGCCAAGTTTGCAGCCGTTTTTTACTTTTACAAAAAATAAAAGAAAAAAAAATGTGCTCCGCTTCATCTACATGATTATTGAACTAATTTTTCAATAAGATTTTCTCCTTTTGTGAATCTAAATTACTGTAGAGAAATACAAGGTAATGGAAAAAGTAGGTTCCAAAGTACCAGTAAGGAATTGATCAATTAAAAAAAAAATTATTTACCAGCTGTAACACAGATTTTCCAATACAATAAGAAAGATGTTAGCAAAATGGGAACAGACAATAAATAAATAGTGCAGAAAGTAAGTTTCAAATAATATGATAGACGGCCCTGCAAATATCTCAATATATCTCTTATGTTTTAATTTACTTTCAATTTAAGTTTTAAATTCAGCCGATCATTTATGCTAACAGTTGGCAAGTGACGGCACGGTAAAACATTGCTAAAGTTTTCAAAAATGCATGAATGATATTTAAATTACTAAATCTGTTCTTAAACAAATGCTCTTTTCTGAAATGAAAAAGGTTCTCTTCCTATTACAATGAGACGCCTACGTTTTTTTTTTTGAAATACCGTCAAAAATCAAAATTAAATTCATAGCAAAGAAAGGAATTAGAAGCAAAGGTAAACTGAACGATAGAGAATCCAACTTCTTACAAACCATTGTCCGTGCTAGAAGAAAGTTTCCTTCCATAAATTTTTCTTCGATGTCATATGATTTTCAAGGAATCAGAGCAATTGGTATAGTGATTCTAGTGCTTTTGTCTGGGCGTACTGAATTTTAAAACTCATAGAAAATAAATGTTTCAACTAGCTTAATTTTCTCATACTGAAAATTAAAGTACCCGCATCAGAATTCCAAATGTTTTCAAATGTACAGAATTTAAGCAACTCACGTATGGATGAAGGAAATACAACGAATGCCGATGACAAATAAGATTTGCTATGAAAAAGATGATGCCACAAAATCCAAATATGTAGAAAAGTATAACATGGACCTCTGAAATACAGAAATTCATAAATTTCAGAAAAAACTCATGGTTAATTCAAAGAAATGAAGAAATTGTCTTAGAAGTGGGATAATAACTAAGTGCTGCGACACATTTAATAAAGTCAGTCTGGTCAGATGTGACCCGATATTGTGAGCAATATTAATTTAATTAATTTACTTTGTTTTCATACCTAATCATAGAAATCAAGAGGAGAAATTTTTTCTGGACAACATCTATACAACAAATTTTTAGTAAATACATACAGATCACTTACGAATATTCTCACGTTCACCAAGGAGTGATAAACCAATCATAAAGAATAATTCTGCAGTGCCAGAATAGAAATATATATATCGAGCAAATTCGTAAAATCGTTTATGTCGGCAATTCACATTCATTAAACGTCCAAATCGGAAAACTGTAAACACAAATTTAAATTGAATTAATAACTTAGAAATAAAAAAGATTTGTTATTTCATAAAGAGAAAAAGGAATGTTAAATATTTCTGATGAGTTCCCAAATCTAATTAAAGTCTCAGGCACTATCTAGAAAAACTTGCAGCCGGTGAATAATTCAATGAATCGAGCCGGTGTTTGTATAAGCATCAAAAATTGCCAAAATAATCGTTCCAATGGTAAATTTATTATTCGTGAAAGTGACGGCAATCTTGCTCTCTGCAAATTAACATATTTCATTCATTCATTAAGTGGTGTGAGTATTTCGATAAAGCTCTGTCATTTAAATACTCAACGTAAACCAATGTGGAAATTCCTCCTTCAAAATTTACAAATATAAGTGTATGCTTGCCCCGCATTGCCAATTGTAGTTGCTAATTTGTTCATTGTGAAAAATTAAAGCAATGATTATAGCAGCAAAAGCACCAGCCACTGGTGGTACGAAACCAAGAAAAAACACAGTTACTGGTGATAAGCGAAGCAATTCAGTAACCTATAAAAAGTAAACTTGTATATTTTGTCCTCTTCAGAATTAAATTATCATTTTAAATACAGTTTTAGTCAAGTTCTGAATTCAATTATTTGAAAATGATTTTGTGATGAAAAAGCATCTTTATACCGTTTTCCCATTTTTGAAATAAGCTGGTGACGGATTATATACAGTTTTCCGACTCTTTCTATTATCCAGTTGTTGTTCCGTTCCTTCACTCTCCATATAAGATACACAATAAACCTATAAATGCTGCAAAAAAAGAGAAAAAAATCCATTTACTAAAGCCAACCAATAGCTGCTCTTTTTGATCGAGCCTATTCCAGTAGTGATCATCTATTGTCACTTATTTTTCAATCGCTGCAAAATTCTAAAATTCTTTCTGAATTCTTGCAATATAGTTTTAGTATTTTTATTTGTCACAAAATATAAAGCTTCATCAAAGGAAATCAATTCAGAAATTTTATCTTGTTGCTGACAGTGGCGCCCAAACATAACATTAATGGAATTTCTTTGCGTGTAAGGGCATCACCATTTCCTGATCAACTTAATCTCCAGGGCTCGAACTAAAGCCAAAGATTGACCATTGGATAGATTTAAAAAATTAGTTTAATGGTTGATACAGCGAAGTCTTTTCAGGATCCTATCATAGGACCGACACAGGAACCGATTGACGAACAAGTCTAATAATACGAAATCAGTTATTTCTATGAAAAAAGAAGATTATCTTCTATTTTCTAAGGAACCAAGATTAATTTTTTTCTAATTTTCAACGTATTTAAAAAAAAATGTTATAAAATGATATAGGAAAATTGAAGTTATGAAAAACGTTGTTAATTTTGCATAGGTTTAGGAGCAGCAGTTGTATGAGTAATAGAAGGCATTAATGATTTAAGTAACTTCAGAATGTTGTACAATATAATTACTTTAATCAAAATTTAGAAATTTGGTTATATAATATGCAGTTTGCTGAAAAAATGTTGAAAGTATAGCGGAACGGTTTTCCAGATGCGGACAATTTTGACAATGCAGACATCATCTGGAATGTGATTACGGGGATGATATAGGATTTGTCATTCATTCTGGGTGATATTTCCGAAATGGAATGCAAAATAGTGTTGAAAACTTTCTTCAACATTCCGATAGATCGTCCTCAATTTTCAATTTTCTCCTCTATTTTTATCCTAATAGACAGTTCAACCTTTTCCAACCCATTTTTCCCACATTTATGTCAAAGAAAGATACTTATGTCTCATTCAAGTTTAGAATAGATTTATACAGTCCTATCATTTTATAATTGTTTAATTTTGCCTGTATTTCAAAATCAGGGCAATAAAGTTACCACTGCAGACTACGATAATGTAAAGCAAAGGTCAAACATCATTTGCAATTAATTGTTTCACCAATAAAAATCAAGACATTTTGAAGTAGTAGAATGCATTCAGAAAGTTCTTACATATGAATCAAATACATCAACAATTTTAAAATAAGCATTGCTACCGTTTAATACGATTAGTAAAATAAGCAAAACAATGTAAGACATCTTGAAGAATAATAAATAGTACAATGCATTATATTCCCGATTTTCCCGACGTTCGTGGAAGTGCACAAAAATTTAACCACAAATGAAATAGTTTCTCGTTTAATTTCAATTGTAAATGTTTGGATAATACGAATTGATGACTAATTTTCCTGATTTATTAGTAAAATTAATAAGTCCAAAATTGATCTCATTTTACTGAAGGGAACTTATGAAAAATGGACATATGCTTCAAAACTAAACAACCATTAATAATTTACTTTACTTAATACCTAGTAAAATATAGTTATTACAAATCTTCAATTTGTTTTCAAAAATTTTGTATGAGAATTACCTCCACCTCTAAATCATTATGCAGTATTTACATCCATTCACTTTGATATAAAAATTAGCCAAATTGGTAGATTGCCAGCTACTGAATAGCATTAATTTTATGAACACAGTTATTTCAAAATGTTGGACGTTGGGAGAGTGAGCTGTTCGTAAATGTGCATGTCACCAGAATATTCCTTTCCAAAATATTTGGAATAGTTCAAAAAATTAGAAAAGTAATTCTTTTAAATTATTTGCATGCAGTACTTGGCAGCTTCTCATCCCCAATAAATTAAACAATAAGCGTATGCAACAATATGAGCCGATAGTTCAAGATGCTTAATCTATGTATAAACAGGAATAAGGCCACGAGTCAAGCACAAAAATGAGTAAATAGGCAGTTCCTTGCTCATATAGCGTGAGTTGGTTGTTTTCATTGGTTGTTTAATTAATTTAGATTTTAAATAAATCATAGTATTAGGACAAATACTACCAGGAAACACTTGAAAAGGTTGAAATACTTAGTTACAATTAAAAAGATCGCACAAAAAATTGTCGGAAGAAATGTAGTTTTCTGGTATATACCACTTTACGAAGAGGTAAATTTGTCATCACCTGTAAAGCCATATACTTATTAAACTGTCAGGAATCTTCCGCCGTTTACTCCAATCAATAGTTTTCATGAAAAATAAACACCAAAAAAGCACGCAAAGAAAGGTTCACTTTCTTTCTTTTGCTCTTTATACTAACTTTCTTTTTCTAAAGATAATAAAATTCGTATAAAAACAAAATCTTTCATTAAAGGCAGCAGAAGTAATCAGACTCAATTGATTGACGCACAGTAGGCCTTGGCATCTGAGAATAAGGCATTTTTTGATTACTCTTTCCATGTGAATTTCCCCGTTATATATTGATTTTTTTTAGTTAAATATAATTATAGATGTAACTAATTTCTCTAAAGCTGCCGTAGGATGGACCCACTTATTCACCCATTTACCCATTAACAATATTCCCAAATCGAAATTATCCGGGAAAGTCGAAAATCCAAAGTTTTGGGATGAATAACTCTAATTAAATGAAATCACATGGAAAATAAAGGTTTCTGGGCACCAACTCTCCAGAAAATTATACATATTTTCTTGATTTTTATTCATATATAAATCGCTGTTTGCACAGTGCTTAGCAGGTAGCCATGCTATTATCAAGCCTGCAGATATTGATAGCCTTAAACAAGCCAAGCTTAAAGAGCTAAGCTTAATTTTTTTTATTGCTACCTTGTTGAAATTCAGGAAAATAGTTCATTTTTGATTTACAGATCTTCTGAAGAGAAGAATCAGTTCATTTTGCAGTATTTTACAGTTAGGAATTATAATTATTTTTTTTTTAGTAAAATATGTCATTTATCACAAACCAAGCCCAAAAGCATAAATGCTGGGGTCCTGATGCAAGCCTAAAAGTGAAATGTTTTTCAAGCAAATGAAGAAGAAGCAACCAGGCAACAACGAACTAAGGACCAGAAAGGGTGTAAGATGATGAAAGAAGAAGGAAAATAAACTATGATTATTAATATTACCAGCTTGCACCAACTGATTTTACTTTTTATTTTACTTTTACTTTTTCAGGTCATTGAATCCCAAAATTAGAATAAAATTTGAGAATTATTGAAGCAATTCTTCTCGTTCGCCCTTCATTAGGCTTTTCTTTGTTTTAATTTAATAACTCGTAGTCTTATTTCTGTTATCATTCTCTCTTTAAGAGGAAGAAAAAATTTCATTTTCATGGTTTTCACCGCTGATTCTCAAAAGGGATCCAAAGCTCTGCAATATTTTGGACTCCTCTCCTCAGTTGGTCTATGTTACAAGTCCTCGGGACCTGGCAGCCAAATCAACCCGATCGATTGCTATTGTAGCCATACCTTCTTATCGGTTTGTATCACTTTATAAAGCAATACCCTAGCAAGGATCTTTCTTTCGTCTTCTGTCCTAATAATTTAGTCATTTCTTTCAGCATAGCCTATCAATTTCAACGAATCAATATTTTATCATTACTTGAAACAGTTTGCAGGACGTGTTGAATATATTATGGTACAGTGTTATATCAAGAATTCACTTTTTAACTTAACTATTTGATTGATTGTGTCTAGTTTTAATTAGTTTGACACTGTTTACACATTTGGCTTTTTAATTTTTCAAACTGATTTTTTTAAAATTGATTTGAAGTTATAGTTCAAATGATAGAAATTGATGGGGATCTATTTCGTTCTCGAGTACTATTACTTCTGTAATACTACTCTTTTATAATGCTTCCACATTATCGTAACTGATCTGCCTGTAAGAGTTGTCAGTTGAGGGCTATTCAACATTACATGCAGGTGTAACTCTTTTCGCAATAGGATTGTCTCCGTGAAACGATAGCTCGATTTTGCCGCTGAATCGATTGAAATGTTTGAATGAAAAATTTTTGTCAATGGAAAATTACCTGTACTCAGTAGGAAGAATCTAAATTAAAAAATTTGAATTTAAATTTAAATCTGTATGCAGTAGGAAGCAATATGATAAGAAAAGAGAGCATAAGATTGAAGGAAAAGGGTTTTCATTTGTAACAAATACATACGACATATACGAATAACATTGAGAGCAAGGAATTAAAATTTAACTGATCTCCTCTATCTTAACTAACATGACTTGAATGATTTGTAATTATTAGCTTAAGCTTATGAGAAAAGATTTACCAGTCCATCTATGTTAAAATATATTCTCAAAAATATATTTTCTAGTATTAGTTCGAACTATGCAATATGTATTATTATGTTCTTATTTTATTTTGCTAAAATTTAATGATATATGTAGCCTATAATAACAAGTATATCCTCCCTGATGATAGTATTTGTTATTTGGAGGAATTTCTTGAAATCAACAAAAACTTCTAAAAAAATGAAAAATTTTAGAGCAAAATAATAGTTTGATAGAATAAAACAAATTAATCATTCCCAATTATTTCTCTTTGCTTTAAAAATTTGCTAACTTCCTTTAATTTTCAAATGACAAAAGAACTACCATTTTGTAGTTTTTTACGATTATCCTTTATTGCTCTTCAAGTATGAATCTGATCATAAATTGTGTTATAAGGAATAATTGAATACTTGCAGCAGATAGGTAATCAATACAATAGAATGAATTACAAAATAATTACCGAAGGACTGTGGGGTTTGCATTCTTTGCGATCAACTTCATTGATTTTCAGGCTTACTGCACTATTTCTTACTGCAAGAAGATGTAAATGAGTAAACTATCGCTGAAATCTCTTCGAAACGGTTTTCCACTGAATCTTTTCACTGCTACGATGTAACGTAATTTAAATTCTTCTTTCAGAC